GAATCTTTCATCTGGAAAGACCTGCTGCAGGGATTTTGCTCATGGCTAGGATCTGATGACATGTTAGGTGATGAGGGGGAATTTTCTCTGAAGTCAGACCAATTAGTAACTGTGTGTGTGGGCGGTGGGGGGTGGGGTGGCTGTTGACTTTCCCCTGCAGAAAGTGACTTCACATGTTCTCTTGAGTCATCTTGGAGATATTTGCTCAGCAAGGAACTCTCTGCAGTGCAAATAAAGTCTGGTTGTAGCACACTTTAGTCTAGATTATGGATCTCCATGGGTTTGGAAAGAAGATGGTGTGCTTTGTATCAGAGGCTTGGACTACGTGACTTTTTGGTCCATTGTCTGTAATTTAGTTATTTACTCAGCTATGCAAGATAATTTGAGTGGGGTAGTATGAATTGGTGACCTGCAACAACAGAAGGCTGAACCCAATGGCCTTCTTGGCCCCTTTCAACTCTACTATTCTACTATTCATAGAGATGTGCTTTTTGTTTAGCCCATCCAATGAACCAGGATGCTCCCCTTACATAGCTAAATCCCTCACTTGACAGGACATACAAGGACTAATCCAGACATTTATCCATTATTCCAACCTGATATGGGAAGTACAGTTGTTTCTATCGATGCTTCTCTGTGAATAAATTTTTACAATTTGCTAATCTTATAGCATACAGTTATGTATTATAATTTTCCTTACTGTCATATAATCACATGTGGGCCTAATCTGGATTGGGACCATGTTGCTTGGTGGGGGTGAAAAAAGAAAAAAAAGCCTCCACTGACTTCAGTGGAGAGTTAAAAGAAGGGGGGCTTCCCCATATACAATATGTAACTTGCTCCTTCATGTGGTTTAAAGAGAATTCAGGTGTTTATTCATCATTGTTTTCTCCCAAATAACTCAGGGCAGCAATATTGCTTTCTCCTTTGCAATAACCGTGGAAAATAAGTTAGTCCAAGAGATAGTGGCTGCATTTTCCTGTGCCATGAAGTCAGGTGTTCACATGAGAGGGCATTTGAATTCAGGTCTCATCAGTCTTCCTAGTCGAATACTCTGTTACTCCACACTGAGTCTCCCCTTTGTAATTAATGCTTCTTCTGAATTAGTGTCCCAGTTCACAGCAGCCTGCAACTTGCATGCACATGGCTGTGAGACTTTTTGCTCACTCTGCTGTGGGACAAATGGTAGGTCCTGGGTTGAGGGATGCAGAAGTTAGAATACATTGAGAAGATGATTAAAAACCCAAGATGTTTGAGAAACATGATGTTTCAGTGTCTAGTGACCTGGTTGTGCTTAGGTCCCATCCTGCATATAGTTTTGCTTCAGCTTCTGCTAAGAACACTTTGAATAAAGAAGTAAGGTAGAAAGCTTGAATTGCACCATACTCTCCATTAACACAGAGTGTGTGGTTGTAGTGATTGTCATGTGTGACAAACTGCACAAAAACTGAATGTTATTTCCTAGATTTAGTCTGCAATCCTGTACATATGTAGACAAAAACGTCATGGCCACTGGTTGGGAAATGCTGGGAGTTGTAGGACGTTTTTCTGTCTACATATGTACAGGATTGCACCCTGGACCTTGAAAGTTTGTAATGTGAAACAACTTTCAGCAGCCCTCATCAATGTTTATCTATTTGCAACCTTTACTAGAAGAGGTGGGGCAATTTTTCCACATGCAATCCACTCATCTCCAAACAGGCTTTTGTTCTCTGTGCTACTCTGAACAAACATGCTGAAGTAAATGAATGACTGATTTAATTATCCAGACATAGGAAAGGTTTGCTTATTAAACTGAAAGTACTAATGAAATTTGCAGCCTGATCCAGTGGGTCTTACTTCTGAGCAGACATGTGAAAATTACAGTCCTAGTTATCTTAATGTTAAATTTGCAAAGGTTTTTTTTAACCTTTACCTATACCAATCTCAGATAAGTACATTATTATGCTCTATTGGAAAACAAATCAGCTTTCTATCTTGCTATTAAAACTATCTCTGCTGAACCTTTAAGTGAAGTTTATATTAAAGCACTACAAACAGCGTCCATATTGTGTTTGTGTGTGTGTGTGCAGAACACATAATGCACGTACAGTCATGATTGGTTTTGAGACTATCTTGTATTTAATACTTTGATGCTCTTGCACAGAGTTGTTGAGCTGCAATAATGATGAGCTATTTTACAGTGACTTGTCCCTTTTGGGTCTTGTCATATATCACCTGCCGCAAACTGACAGCTACAATCTGTACATCTTAGTATGTAATTTTGAAAAGTTTGCAATGGAAGGTTGACTTCTATAGCCTCCTAGTTCTCTTTTGCTTTCTTTTTTTTTTCTTTTTGCGCTATGCAGAATTCTCAAGTTTAGCACCTCACTCACTTTCCAAATGGAAGATGACTTAAAGTCCTCTCCTATTTCTGTTAAGCTATTTGATGTCCCTTTTGACATTCTGTAGAGCAAAACTACCCACCAGGAACAGGACCGACTAATATCAACGCTGGGCTTTCTTACACTTGGATTGTTCCCAAAGACCGTTGCAAATGTATACATTCTTAGTTCCAATGCAACCCTATGTGTGTCTATTCTACAGTAAGGCCCACTGAGGTCAGTGGAGACAGGACCAGCCCTACCATTAGGCAGAGTCAGGGAGCAGATCCTGCAAGATAGCAGCAAGTTGCTGGAAGAGAGAGCTTGAGTCTGTTGCTTTCAGGTACAGTGGAAGATGCAGTCATAAGAACATAAGAAAAGCCATGCTGGATCAGACCAATGGTCCATCAAGCCCAGTGCTCTGTTCACATGGTGGCAAGCCAGCTGCCCACAGAACACCTTAAGCAGGATTGATAGAAGACTTCTGCCTGCCCGAGCTCCTCCGCACCTGGAATCCCACCTCTGATAATGGAGGTAGCACACAGCCAGCAAGGCTTGCAGCCTATGAGAGTCTTTTCCTACCAAAATTTGTCCAATGCCCCTTTAAAGCCATTCAAATGGGTGGCCATCACTACTTCCAATGAATGTCATATTATGTATGCATTTCATTATATTCTATTTAATTTAATAGTTCAACTATGCACTCTTAAAGAAACACTTCCTTTTATCTGTCCTGAATATCCACTGATCAGTCTCATGAGATGAGCTTTCATCCTAGTATTAGGGGAGAGGGAGAAAAATGTCTGTCTCCTCTTTCTCTACACCATGCATGTTTTAAAACACTGTTATCATGTTTCTCTCTCGTTCATCTTGTTTCCTAAACTATATAATCCAAGTTGTTGTAATAATTCCACATGGGGGAATTGATTCAACCCATGCAACATTTCAGTTGCCCTGGTGTGGTGACCAGACCTGTACACAGTATTCGAAGCGCAGTTGCAACAAAGATTTGTATAAGGAGAATATGATTCCGCCATTTTTATTTTCAGTTCTTTTCCTAATTATGCCTAACACAGAGGTTTCACAGCAGCAGCATACTGGGCCAACATTTTCATTGCGCTGTCCATCACAAACCCAAGACTCCTTTCTTGATCAGTGATAGCCAATCTTGAAGAAAGATTTAAAATGAAATGGAAGCATCTGCATTTCAACATCTGCACATAAAATGGGAGGAACTGACATCCTGTTCTTTGTCTTTGGCAGCAAAATGTCTTGTGCTGACCCTAAATGGGGTCATTTACTCCCAGATAAGTTTAGGAGTGCGTTGTTTCAACCTTATAATAAATGTTTAGGGTGTCATTTCTATTATAGATTTTTCCCCTTTCCTGGGAGCAGACCATTATTATTCCCAATTTATAGAAGGGAAACTGAGGCTGAGGGAGATGTTATCTGGATTCAGACAATACAGTAACCCACACTCAAAAGCTGAATGTGGATTGTTGTTGAAATGTGGGTTATTGTGTGCCTGCTTCTAGCTACAGTACAAACCATGCCTTATTAACTACAAATGGTCCATGAAAAGAACCGCATTCAATAGCTCACAGTTAAACAGCAATCTTACTCAACCCAGACTCAGCCTTTGAGGAGTGGGAGTTATGTCTGAACCCAACTGCTGATTTGGCTAATAGCCATGGACTTAATCAAGATAGATCTGAGATGTGAACTCATATATGTTGTTCCTTGCATCTTACATGGTGAGAGGGAAAGAAAAAACTTGTGCAACAGAAAGGGGAAAGAAAATAATAAAGGGAAATATGCTTATCTTCCTGATTTACTTCCACCTGTTTCTTCTACAGTAGTAAATGGATAGTGGCACAATACCCCCTCATCCACACCTTGCAAGAAATCTAAATAGGATTTCCACTGACAAATTTGGAACCAGTCTTAATGTCTTGCATTGATCTGCTCTTTATCTCCTTACCCATATAATATTACTATATGTGTAATTCCACAGAAGTGCCAAAAATAGCAACATTTGCTACTGCACTAAAATTCTGAAAATCTCAGCTATTTTAAAAAGCAAGTTTTTAGCACTAATTACCAATGTGGGCTCAAAAGTTTACAGATGTTAGGAGAAATCATTGATGCCTGAGCAGGTGTCACTCAGCAGAATTTGCTATGGTGAGGGTGGAGCTTCACTGCCCTGCCAAACTCTTTGGCATGCCGAAGTTACCAGAAACATAAATTGGACAAACTAACCAAGTACAGGGAAATATGCTCATGTCCTAGAATAGCATATTCTTATTCAAGGACTTGGGTTTCCTTGGCCAGATTCCAGAGTGCATCCATAAGCAAATCAGCACAGGAAATCAAGCCCAGCTGGAGAACTGTGCACCCACATTTGTTGAAGAGTGGTGTGTTCTGCCAAGAAAAATATACCACAATCAATACAAAATGTAATCACAGCTGGTAACCAAAGTATGATGTTTCATCATCATGCAGCTGAGTTTCTTAAAATCCAGGGATAATAATCAAGTTCATTCCTAATTAAAACCCAAGAAAGAGAGAGCTAGAAAAACACAAACTACTTGAATTGAAAGTTTCATTTATGTATCTAGTCACCTGCAAAACAAAATGTTTCTGTTTTCCAGCTTTTCCAGCTCCTGGGTTGCTTGTCTAGCTAATTCAGCAGTATGGTACACTGAGGTTCTGCACTGCTACCAAAATGTATGTATGATTATAATAGTGAACATGATTCACAGACAAATGTTCGTTATAACAGTATTGCATCGACAAGCCTGTCTGAATCTCATATGTTTTTAATGGGCTGCCTCTCCACTAATTTTAAAATACTGAACTTCTGATTTCAAAGGTATTTGCTTTAGTATCAGTTTCAGAGTGCTTCTCAAACTTTATCTTGTTGAGTTTCACAACAGAATTCATCTATCTGGCCTCTCTTCAGCCCTAGCCAGTATAGCCAATGGTGATGGGTCACTGGAGCTATAGGCCAAAATATCTGGCAGACAACAAGTTACCCTTAGTTACAGGGTAACAAAGTCACATGCTTCTTCATGATATTTTTTTCAGCAGCCACATTTTACCTACTGTTTTCATTTTTTTGAAGGGAGATTATACACTATGATTGGAAAGGGAGTTATCCCTTCAAGAAATAATAATAGCAGAGCAATTTTAGAATTTGCTCCTTTCTCAGATTGTTTATAAGCAGCTCTATAGTACATTTCTTTAGTATCTATGAAACCAAATCTTTGGTTAACCAATTGCTAAAATGGTAGGACCAGCATCCCAGTGAAAGGCCATATATTATTCTTACTTGAACCAGAGAGACCTGAGTTCAAATCTCGATATAGCTGTACATTCAGTAGATAGATATATCTTCTTGATAAATCTTCTTGATTATCTTCTAGATAATCTTGATAAAATGCTGTTGGAAGTCTATGTCACCAAAAGATACTTTTAAAAAATATAGACTGCTCCATTCCCATAAGCTCTGGGCAGTTTACAAATGATTAAAACCACAACAATTAACATTTCAAGTAAAAACAAGCATATGAAATAAAACTAGTCTGGGAACTAATCTAGAATGCCCTTTTAAAGGTAGCAACTGGGATATCCAGTGTATCTCTCCCAGCAGGCCATTTCATAGTTTGAGGGCAACCTCTGAAAAAGCCTTTTGGAAAGTAGGCACTGATCTTACAAAAATGAATTCAGGAAGATTCTCCCTTGAGGACCTTAGCTGGCGAGGTGGAATATATGGGAGAAGACATTTCTGCAGGTACTTTGCTGAAAGAAGAAATAAATCTAAAGTCAGTGTTAGATATGCACAAACCACATGGGCTGTTACATTGCTGGCTCCCACTTTAATCAAAGTAGCTAGAACAGCCTTCCTCAGCCTGGCATGTTCCAAAAGTTTTGGACTTCATCTCTCAACAGCTCCAGCCAATAGAGCCAACAATATAGGAGTCCAGGGAATTGTCGTCCAAAACATCTGGAAGTTACCAGGTTGGAGCCGGGTGATCCTGAGGAACACTTGGGGCTATAAGAAATGTTTCTAGGTTTCTGTTTTAGAGATCTAATGAATCAGAGAAAAACTTGGCTTTGGCGATATCTTTTACAATTTCTCCCGAATAGAGGGACTGGATCGCTTGGAAGCACTCGCACAATATCAGGCTCCACCCCAAAACTGAAGGACGTTTTCCATTAACGTCCCCGTCCCAACGTTTTCCCTAGAAAGTTTCAGTACTCCAGTTCCCCGCCAGCTTCTAAAAACCGTTTCCCTGAGTGAATGGAGCGAGAGAAATAGAGAAAAGGAAAGAAAAGGTGGTGTGCCTGGGTGCGGGTCGAGTTAGCATTCACAAGAAGATTCTGGGCGCTTGTTTTCTCCTTTTCTAGAGAAATATAGGAACAACAGGAGCACAAGCAGGGAGTAGAAACCAATACTGTATCCAAACCAGTTTCCCTTTGCATGGTTTCTATCCACAGCCTGCCTGCCTCTCTCTCTCTCTCTTTTCTGCCTTTGTATTTTACCTTGCTTCCCCAACTCGTCCTTAGTATTTTTCTCGTTTTTCTTTGCTCAGGTTGTGAGAAGTGTGGTGGCGCGTAAGAGTAAAGGGGCTTGTCTCTTTAAGAAGCCCTGTGTTTCATAGTTGTCTTAGACAATAGCAATGATCACTTTAGCTTTGGAAGTGACCTCCGAATTTAAACTCCTTTCATGTTGGATATAAGAGCACATGGGGATGGACTATTTCCTGGTGGGGGGGAGGGGTGGAGCCGAGACCCTTTCACACACAGGCCAGCCACTCCAATTGGTTCACTCCAGATCTGAAACCAGTTCCAGTCTGAATGTGGGACACAGCTGAAATGGTGGAGGTCGCTGTGCTTCCTGCTTCAAGATTTAAATGTCCAGGAAACAGCCTTTCAGAGAAGCCAAGGCAAGGAGCTGCTTAGAACTGGTTGGGGTGAGCATCAGGGCTTTGCTCAACAAATAAAGGTGAGTTTGAAGGAACTTCCGAAGTTGGTCAGCCGGTTTCTCGAGGGAAGGCGGATTACCAAGGCTTAACCCCCGCCAACGCCAAGACTTGAGCAGATTTCCAGAGGTTCTACATGCAGGCCAGTGCAAACCCAAGCTCAAGCAAAGCTTGTGTAGGCACGGAGTTGTGTGTAGGTTTGCGGCCGTAAGTGCACATTTACTAGAGAGTACTCCTGTTGAACTCAGTGGAGCTTACTTCGGAGTAAGCAATCCTTGGATTGCGCTGTGCATTACTTTTGGACCAGCAGCGGGCCAAGAGCGCAGTTGCCAGGCAAGCGCAGCCCGGCAGTCGCTTTCTCCTCTGACTCCTTGCGTTTGGCGCTCTGGTCCTAGCTTTCATTTAATCTCGTTTCTTCTCAAGTTCTCCCTCCATGTGCAGCCTTTGTTTCAAGAGCATTTCCGAAAGCGATTTCATGGGGATTCTAGCCGCCCTCTTGTGGGAAGGTGCCAGAATCAAGCAGGAGAATCCCTTTTTCACAGAACCCTGTGCAGTTTTCCTCGGACCTTTTAAACGTATAGAAAACGCACTTCTGCTGGCACTAGATCGGTTCACTCAGCCGTTTGGGTGTTTTCCACTGAATACAGATATCAAGCTCATTCCCAAGTTTATTTCTGTGCCTCCCATGCCCTTTTGGAAGTATCTCGTGGGCTGCTCAGCGTTGCTGCAGGTCTGCAGCGGCCGGTAGAGGGCGCCCAGTTTTGCGTCCTGTGGCTCGGCTGTCGTTCACGACCTCGCTAGAGATCATTCTTGGACTGGAAGGGTCACGAAATATTCCGAGGCCTGCTGGCTGCGGCCTGGCCTTTGTGCTCTTGGTGAGCAGTTGGCTGGATCCAGGCAGAGCTGTTATCGCTGTTTGCCTTATTTGGGGACCCTAAGCAGAGTGCCCACGTGGCTTCAGAGAGATCTTGAAAAAAATCTGCAGGCATGGTAGATCCCCAGAACTGAAGCCTGCTTTCAGATTTGGGTCACGCATTTGCTTGAATGTATGATAATGTTTTGTGTCCTGTGGAAAGCTGCAGCATTTCCGATGCAGATCTTCAAATTACAGTTCTTAGTACACTTACTCCCAAGTAAGTCTTATCTTCAGATTTAATGCTTACAGTTCTTAGTACATGTGCTCCCCAGTAAGTCTTATCAGAGCAAGCATAGTTAGGAATTCTGCTGTCTGTGGTTTGGGTGAATTCTTTGGAAAAATGCAAACCATTCTAAAACAGTACCTGGTTTATTAGCACTAGCCTATTTTGTCATTTTGTATACTGCAGTGAAAAAGGTGGTTGTTTATGCTATCCAGTGGCTTGAAATAAAATGGGGATAAGCTAAATCAGTGTTATAATGTAACACTTTCTTAGTCAGCTTCATGCATCAGATGAATAAAACGTAGCCTTCAATCTTGTTTTACTTCAACTAGATTTAATGTGGTTATTCTGAAATATAGAGGCTTCTGTAGTGCAATAGTCCTTAAATAAAATAAAATAAATTTGACAGTGGTTCCAGACAAGGTCATCTTCTGCTCCTAGCTCCCCTGTGTCCCCCTCCAGTAGTAGCGGAAGTAGTAGTAGTTCTTTCCACTGGAAATCCTTTAAGGAGACAAGGCTGAATAGCTACACACTGCTTGCTGACTGGTAGTATAAGGACCTCTCTGCCTGGTAATAGCCAAGAATAATTAGGAAGGTGCTCAGTCCACAGTTCTATATTGTTTGGATACAAGGTGCAGTTTTAGTAGAAGAGAGGGAGCAAAATTTAGGTCACAGTCCTGTTTGGACATCCAGTGCAAAGTGGGAGAAGCAAGAGGACAAGCTGATGAAAATGTGCAACTGCTGTGGAAAAGGCAAATCCCACATGGGTGTAATTAGGAAGGGGACTGAAAATAAAACTGCCAAGATTGTGCTTATTATTATTATTAATAATACACATATTTGGTTCACATGCACTTAGAATATTGTGTACAGGGCAACTAAAAGGATGCAGAGGTTGGAGCAACTCTCCTTTGAGGAATAGTTACAGCAACTAGAATTGTTTAGGTTAGAACAAAGGCAAACAAAAGGAGACATAGAGGGGTTTAAAATTATGCAGTATGAAGAAAGTACAGAGGGAGACATTTTTCTCCCTCTCCCATAACACTTGACTGGTGAGAGATTTAGGACAGATAAAAGAAATACTTCGTCACCATAGTCTATAGTTACACTATGGAATTTGCTGCCATGGGAATTGGTGATGGCTGCCAATCTGGATGGCTTTAAAAAGGGATTGGACAGATGCATGAACAAGGAGGCTGTTAGCAGCTACTAGCCTTGCAGTCTGTGTGCTACCTTTTACTAGAGGTGGCCTGCCTGCACACACCAGTTGCTGAGGAGCTTTGGCGGGAGGAGGTCTTGCACCCATCCTGCTTGAGGGATCCTTTGGGCAGCTGGTTTGCTACACTGTGTGAATGTGCTGGACTGGATGGACCATTGGTTTGCTTCAGCGTGACTTTCCTTACATTCTTAAGAGTGGCAGAAGTAATCTTGGCTTCCCCATCCTCTGCACTAGCTGGAGTATCTTGGAATGAGAGGGAAGGAGCCAGGAGCAGCTGCAAGACATCTCATGTCTTGTCCTGCATCCTGTCTCCTGCCTCCCAAAATACTGCCTGCCTTGCTCTCAGAGAGCCACTGGTGCAGCTCTTTCTGTGCCAGTGAGGAG